TTGTCTCTAATAATCATTTATATATATATGTATATATATATATATAACACATGTGATTAACTATTCAAAATCGCTCATATTTATTGTTACAATAGTAACATGATGATTTTAAATATGTTTCTATTAAAAGATTAATGATCATATTTTATTATTTGGTTATAAATATTTATGTCATATATATAGAGACATTCGTTAACATCATGTATAAAATTTTATAGTAAATTTTACATCTTTAATAAATTTTCTATATAATATAAATTTAACTGAATCGTTATTATATTTGAGATTGTATACATTAAATTATGATTGTAAAAAAAATAGTAATTTGTAACATTATTTTATTCTAACATTAAAATATGTAAATATCAATTTTAGATAACAATAACATATATAAAAAAAAAATTAACCATGTTAAATTTGATATATATGATATAGAGTATAATATCATATAATTCAACGGTTGGATTGGTTTAATTTATATTATTCAAAAAGTTGTCAATAGTATAAAATTTGATGTAAGTTTTTAGACTTATATCTAGTGTTAACAAATATTGACTTATATATATATATATAAATATGAGGAAGATTCAAATGATATCGGTGTAACTTTTACTAAACATTATACATCGTTCAATAACTTTATATTAAATGTCAACTTTGTAAATTTAACCATTGAATTATAACTTCATATCATTTTATATGTTTATATAAAAATCTATTAAAATTGAAGAACTTGAAGATAATCAAAGTGTTCATATTTTATTATATTTTAAAATGTATATATTATGTCAAATTTATTTTATAAAAATGAAATATCAAATCATCTTTGATTAATATAAAAATTTGTACATATAATCTACGAGTAAAGAACTTTCAATTTAACGGTTAAATTTATAAAATTTACATTTAATATAAAATTATTAAATAATATAATACTTAATAAAAATTACACCAATATCGTTTAAATCCTTATATATATATATATATATATATTTCTTCTACTTTAAATACAACCATATTAAAAAGAAAACAAAAATCCTATTAAAAAAAATCGAGTCATGCATGGACATAGATAAACCCATTCTAATTCATCTCACAAACACCCATTAGTTAAAAGATAAAATGAGACCAGTGTGATGAGGAAAAAAAAAAAGTGACATCCTTTAGTGGATTTCCAGGCTTTAGAAAAATCACAAAACTTATTTTAATGCAACACTTGTCGGTCTAGGTCTAAATTTTGAAAGTTTAAAATCATCACCAGTTGTACTTTAAAAACTATTAGAAATCACATTGTACCATGTTAAAATAGTCACAATGTCAAACTTTAATAAACAAATTTCAAATCAGAAAATTTAAGAAATACTTTTAAATTTGGAGAATCGAAAGAAAACTAAGGATGTGCTTGTTAGCACAAAAAAAGAGAGTGAAAAATAGGATGAAGAGAAATAGAGATAAAAAAAAAAATACTTATATTTTTTAGAAGCAAATCCTCATTATCGTGCAATTGTATTTATTTTCTAATCAATTCACACTTTATAACTACTTTAAAACGGTTAAAATATGCTCAAAAAATTTATATATAAATGATTTGTGACAATTTTGGGATTGAAAAAAAAACAATTAATGTATACTTTCTAGTTATTTTTCCTATCACAAAATGCATCGACAACAACACTTCTAACAATATTTTTCCGCATAGAAATAAAAAAATGTGACACTTATATCTTCTTACTCACCACTTGACAAATTTCTTTGCCACAAACAATCTTCACTTTTTTATTTCTTACTCAGTTCTCTTGCATCAATGAGGTCCAAGACCATTTTTTTTATTATCATGTTGTAAGTGCAAAGTATTAATTAACTTTGTTAATATCAAATTTTTGAAAAAAAATAATTGACCACTTTTAATAAAAAAAAAATTGGTTATAACTATAATACTTGAACTCGTAACCACTTTTAATATAAAAAATGTTTATTTTTTATTTTTTATTTTTTATACAAATAGTTGTTATTCATCAAATATATAAATTTTTTTTAAAATTACCATCATCATTTATGTAGTTTCATCTTATATTTAAAAATATTTTATTTTAATTTTATATATACTATTTTTTGTGTCTTTTAATTTCAGTCATTTATTTTTGTAAAACTAAAAAGTAAAGTGTATATAATTATCAAAATTAAAAACAGAAATTGTATGTGTAATAACTAAAATAAAATATTTATAATTGTAAGAATTAAAAAGGTAAAAGTCACACAAGAGAGTAATTAAAAAAAAAATAGAAATCCTTGTTGTTGAAACGGTTTTAGGGTTTTGTCAAGCATAACAAAAATGGCTTTCGTTGGGAGCCGAATTCAAAGCAACACCTGGTTCAAGTTCAAACCTTCTTCCCGCGGTCACAAGCCCTTGAAGATTTGGATGTCGACAACGCAAGGCCAATCAAAAAGACCCATTTGCCCATCTTGTTCCAAACCCACCCGAACCTGTCTCTGCTCTCGAATCCTCACACCAGGTATCCAAAATTCCGTGCACGTCACCATTCTGCACCACGCCCTAGAGCGTAAGCACCCGCTCAATTCTACCAGAATCGCTATATTGGGCCTCAAGAATCTCACCGTTGCAACTGTTTCCGATGTTAATTTCCAAGCCCGCTTCCTGATTCGGTTGTTGGATCCGAATTCCCATTCGGGTCATGCCGGAAACGTGTCAGATGGGTTGTTTTCTCGTCAGTCACGGGAAATTGGTGATACCCAGAAATTGTTTCATGAGAAAAATTATAGCTTGATTGATTCTGATAGTGCTGGAAAATGTGAACTTGGAGATGTTCTGAATTCTCCTTCTCACGCTGAAGTTGTGAATCAAGTGGGTACTAGTGATGGTGCAGTGATGAACGATGAAGTTGAGAAAAATGCAATTCGTCCAAATTGTGATTTAACTAGAGGTCTAGATGAAGATAATGAAGGGCTTGCTATTAGTGTTGCCATTGGCAAATATGGTACCATTAGCTCTCTTTCTCACATTTGGATGACACAAGCACAATGTCAATCCCCCAAATTAAGCTTTGACAAGATTTTGGCTTACCCCGAAGCTCGTGAAGCACTCTCAAAAGGGTTTTTGGTGAAGAAGTTCCAAAGGAAGCAACTGAATAGTGGCGTAGACTTGGAAGAAGAATGTGAAGAATTTGAGCTTGAGGTTCCTCCTGGATCAGTACTGTTATTTCCCTCCGATAAGGCTGTTAATATTAATGACCTGGATGCTATTGGTTTTGAGGTGAAGAACTTGATTGTTCTGGATGGAACATGGGCCAAGGCAAAAAGGATTTATAGTGAGAATCCTTGGTTGAACATTTTGCCCCATGTGAAGTTGGAAGTGAATGAGATGAGCTTATATAGTGATGTGAGACATCAGCCGAGGGCTGGTTATCTGTCCACCATTGAGAGCATTGTATTTGCCTTGAAGGCAGTTGGGGAGAATCGTGAGGGTTTGGATGGTCTCTTGGATACTTTTGAATCCATGGTTGGAGATCAGAGACGCTGTAAAGAGGAGAGACTGAGCAAACAGTTTGAAGAAGTTGCTTCAACCCAAATAGAAACTGTTTGCAAGAAATTGTGAACCACGAAATTTCTTAAGAGTTTTTCGCCCTTGCATCCTTTCCCTGCAAGCAAAACACATCATGGTAGTCACACTGGATTATCTGCATATGGCTAATGAGTTTATTGAAAGATTACAGATTATTATTGTGCCACATCTGCTAAACAAGGACAGGAGTAGTCTGAGATAAAGCAATCAGTTACTGATTGGACTATGCTACTATTAAAAGGGTGGGATTTGGGAGTTGTAATGATGTTTTAGCACAATCAATGCTATTATTAAGATTGGTCGATGCACTTTATGATATCTTCAGAATCAAGAGATTTTTGCAGTTTGTAATGTTACTACTGCTACATGAAGTGACCTATATGTTTGCACTCGATAAACGAAGGACATTATGCTCATTGCACACTGCTAGAGTCAATCCTCGGGAAAGTATGGAGAGTCTGTTCCCCAAGAGCTTTTGACAGAATCATGGCAGCTCATGTTTACTGGTCTCAACATCAAGCCAAGAGACATATGATTACACTAACCTCAGCAGAAACAGACAATCCCAAAGCTATTCAGCTACTTGGTGGTGATGATGTAAAGTGGAGTTTATTGTTAACAAAAGAACATTGAGAAACAAAATCTAAAAGAAAGAAGGAAGAGGAAAGATTTTACCTGCCTAAATTCACCAGATACAGATCTGTTGTTAGAACTCAGTTTGTCTACATGTCTTTATCAAATCACTATGATGGCATAAATTTAATTAGGTTCTATTTACGGGATTTCCATGTGTTGATGCATATTGGATAAATCAGTTTTAGTCCCATACATTTTCAATTATCCATTCTGCGGTCCTTACAGTTCTGTTCTTGGATTGCTGGTTTACATTCTATCATGTTCCATTTACCCTGGTATCAGAAAACAATGATTTCAGATTTAAGGCATTTTGTTAATCAAATCGTCGTTCATCCTACTAATCATCGATTCATCATGGCTTTATTCTTTGTGTGGCTCTAGAATCATATCTAAAATCTAAAATGCCAGCCAGGAATATAAAATATACACGTTTGTCACTGTTTATTACATTATTATGTAACCAAGTTTTAGTTTTCCTATATAGAAGTTAGAAACCAATCTTGCAGGTTCAGAAAAGCAAGCAACATCATCAATTGCAAAGAGACAACTAGCCTTGTACTCCATTTATTGACTAGACGATGTCCTTAGAATATTTCAATATACCATCACAACCAGCATCTATGTACTGAAATACCTGAGTTTACTAACTCGGCTACTAGTAGCGATACATGTACTAAACTAAGAAATTGTCTCATTGTCTATATTTACAGAACTTCTGCAGTTTTGCTAAGCCACGTAGTTAAGGAATGACGGTAGCAGACCTAAACTTTTAGGGTGTCATAAGTGTACTTCTGAGTTCATGTGTCTTCTGATCAATGCATCCTGAGCTAACCAAAGAGGTTATCCAGATATCATCAGCTTTCACTGACTCATCATCATCATTCCTGTGCCAACTCCAGAAAGCATGAGTGGAGTTTACAATCTTCAGCTCACCATGACCAAAACTGGCTTCACGGAATTCTGACCATGTTGGCTGTGGGTTTATATACCTGCTAACAAACAATGATGTAAGGATACTTCTGGCAACAATGAAAGAAAAACAAATCTCAGGCTGCATGCAAGCTGATAAACCTCAATATAGCTTTTTTTCACATAACAAATGATTTCCGTGGAATGATGTTTCTTGCTGTGAAACTCACCTATGAGCTAAGCCTTCCCTGTTTCCTCCATCGCCAATAGTTATATGGACGGCACCACAAGAATCCAATCTTCCATGATACACACGTTTCTGGAAATCAGAGAGAGTATTAAAACCTAGTTTCCATTAAATGGTGCTTACAAAGAAAATAAAAATGCTAAACAACAAAGGTGTACCGAACGTTCATAAGCATGAACATGGCCAGCGATAACTAAATCAACACTGGCAGCATAAAGCAACGGCTCCATAGCTGCCATCATATCATCCCCTGCACCTTGATGAGCCTTGTTACTATTATACCATGGCACATGAAATAACACAAGCAGCCAAGGTGTCCTTTTCCTATCCACCTTTAGCAGATCTGCCTGCATACGAGGGATGAGCAAAGGTTAAGTAGCAGCAAAAAAATCGGTCCAACTTCAAAGTAGTTTTCTTTCTAAAATGATAGTGTAAAAAAGACAAATAACAAAAATAACAAGCATGCTTGTATACTTTTCCATTGTCATGGACCCCATTACACTTATCCAAGCATAGTAGGAGCGTAACTTGTCCACCGAAAATAAAGTGTTTTTGACAATCTCTACTAAAAAAACTTATTATTTTCAGCAAACAAATTCTCAAAAACTCTTCTAAAATTCAATCAAGTTCTAGCTCTTGATCAATAGGGGAAATCAACTAACCTTTAGCCATCTATACTGTTCAGAGTACACATCATAATCCGCATAGGAGCCAAGCATGACAACGTGAACACCTGCAACTTCAAAAGAATAATAAAGATTTGAAGTTGATCCACTTTCCTCAAATGGCATTTTCCATCTGGAATTATATGATACAAACTCATCCGTTAACAACGGTATGTTCTCCTCTTCATGGTTTCCCTCTGTCACCATCCATGGTCTTGCACTAGCAAGTGGCTCCACTAGTCTCCCAAAATTGTCCCACAGATGCTGCATACAATCAGCATATGAAAGGTCCCCTGGAAGCAGGTAAATATCATATTTACATTGATCAATGTGATCCAATGTGGATTTAGTCCAACCAGTTTGACCTAGATCCCCAGCCACAGCAAAAGTAATAGGAAATTGAGCCGGAGGGGTTTTGAGCTGAAACTCAGGACCTTTCCCAGCACACCGGTAAAAGTACACAGTGTTGTCTTCCAAAGGACCAATTACAGCATGGTGTATCATTCCTGAGCTATACAGCAGATAATTATAAGAGGTGTACTCTCCTTCAGCTATTGAATCATATCTCCCGGGTAATGTTCCATATTCTACATATGAAGGTGAACGCTTATCATCAGTTATCCAAGTAACTCTCATGTGCTTCTCTCCTGCCAAAGAAATGCGAACCTGGACATACATTTGGCATCAAAGAACTGAAATTTAATAATCACCATAAATGAATAAATAACTCTTTTAGTATTTTTTTTTCTTTCAAGAACATGGTCCCTATTCATTGTCCCAAAGTTGACTAATTTACATTTGTGGGGCTTCTACTATTTTAACATGGATAAGGGCATCAGGTTAATTCCTTATGTCCGAGAACAGACCTTCCAATCATCAGACTAAAAGACTTGGTTGAACTGATTTAGTATTTATTTCCAAACAAATCCAATAAAATAACTTTTAGTGTATCATGAAATAGAGAATAATTTTGGAGATATAACCCTACATTAAAAAAAAAAAAAATGAAGCCTCCCAACTGAACACCATAATCCAATCAAGTAGTATAAGATGGATGAGATAGGAAATAAAATAACACAAATCTGAAAACATGAAAGAGGGTGATGAATATGAATATAAGGAATGAAAGAGAGGTTGACCTGTTGAGGGTAGGAGGAGTGGGACTTGGAGATTGAATCCCATGGGATGGTTAAGGTTTTACGAGGCAGAGGGCGAACGTATTCAGATTCAGCGGCCAAAGCTGCAAAAAGTAGCTTTAGAATCAGAAGCAGTTTGAGTTCCATATGATATGTGAACGTGAGGTCTAATAACAGTAACTGCTTGCTTGAGACAACAATGTACTTCTTCTTCAATCTTTCTTTCATTCTTTTTATCATCCCAATGACGTCACCAAATATCTTGTTGCGTCAACTATTTTAATTCGTTTCGTCCAAAAACCGGCACTTTCATAATTTTCCTAACACTAAAATACATTTTTATCTGCGAAAACTTCAAGTAATATTTGATGTAATATATCTAACTACCGTAACTTTATTGCTAAGTAATCTATAATTTATTTTTCATAATATTTAATAAAAGAGCTTATTTTAAACGTCTTTACTTATTTATAATATATTTACAGTATATAGGGATTGTTTATAAGCAATTTTCATTGGAGATATTTTTAGTTACATATGAAAATTATTAACTTTATACATATGACATTTTATCTTTTAAATAGTAATTTTTTTTTTATTAAACTTCTTCTCTTCTTTTATTTTATCTTACTTATGTTGAGGGATACTTAATATCTCTCTTTTTTACCCTAGTAACAAGAAATATTTTAAAATGTTTGAAAATTAATAAAAACAAAAAAGTAACTAAAAAAAGAGATCGATGAAAACTAAGTTTAGTCACACTAATGGGAAACAAATATATATTTTAGCATTTTCATAAATAAAATCAAAATTAATTTACTTTTTTTCGTTGTAAATTTCATGGATCGTGATGATTCATATTAAAAGCTCGATCGCGGTAAATTTTGTCTGTTACAATCTTAATTATTAAAGTAATTAAATATAAAAAAACATATCTTAATTTTATGATTTGAAAACTGAAAAATTAATAAATTTTAGGTGAAAAAATGAATACGGTAATGTCATATTGTCATGTAACGTTTGTCTATTTAGCAAAATATTCTTTTATTATTACTACTTTATTAATATTAGTATTGATATAGGTATATAATTGAATAATGGTATAAAACTATTTTATATGTGTGTTAAATTATTTTTATAATAATTATTTTCAACAACCTTATCGTGGGAAATTTTAATTAATAATATGGAATTTGAATCTTAATATTATTAAAGGACAATTTTATCGCTGATGTTTAACTTAAATCTCAAAAAAATTACTATTGATAAAAGAAATAGAATTTCAAAATTTTTACCCTTGCATTTGTTGTTTTTATTTTTTCTCTAGTCAAACAAGTATAGGGGATTAATTGCATAATTGATTTTCATTATTTTTAAAATAAAATATTGTAATTTAATTAAATAAATTTTATAAATAGAAGAACAAATAAAAAATGAAATTATTTATTTTTATTTAAATCTCAATTAAACAAGATAAGTCTCTCATATTATAGGTGGATATCAGGTCTAAAAACTCCAATTCGAACAAACTTGCATTATATAATTTTTTGATTGAAATCCATAGTTGAAAGAGTGATGTCAGATTGTGAGTTTTAGAGGACGAGTTTAGTCAAATTGAACCAAAAATATTTTATTGTCATATTAAATGTTTAATTATATTGTTTAATAATTTTAAAATTAAAAATTGAATGGATAAAGATTGTGAAAATTAAATCAGGCTCATAAAATTAAGCGAAAATTGTATTTAAATTAATTTTAAATTTATAATTTTTGTTGGTCTAACTATTAAATTCTTTAAAAATTTTTTTTTGAACTAAACCATTAAAAATAAAAATATTCCAACAATATTTATCAATATTCATAAGTTTTTATTAAAAATAGAAAAAAAATATCAGTTTAGATTTTGTAAAAAAAAAATTTGGGCCTCAAGCGTATGTGATGCAGGCGAGTTAAATTTTCGATGAGTTCAAAATTTTCAATCCAAATCCGCCTAGAGTTATCCGTCAGAACTCGCATTTTCAACTCACTCAAGCCAAAAACTCATCTAAATATAATTTTTTTTTCAATTCGGTTTATCGGGTTTGGATCGGGTTGCGGGTCGTTGTCCACCCTTATGTCATATCATTAACCCTTATCAAAGACAGGAACGGCGTCGTTTAAGAGGGAGACATTGGCTGTTAGAAACACAAAACCCTAAACCCCGAGCGCAGCGCGAAAGCCATAAACTCCCTCCCTGTTTTGAGTTCTTCTCGAGAGAAGAAGCAGAAGCTGCAGAAGAACAGCAAGCAAATAACAATGGCGACCTCCATAGCTTCGCAATTAGAAGCTGTCAGATCCTCCGTAAAAATCGACTCCGAGCCTCTCAAGAGGCCATTCACTCGCCCTTCTATCCTGTTCGATCCCAAAGAAGCTGCTGACATAGACATCGAAGCTATTTTCAGCATCGCTCTTCAAGGTCAATCTCTTCTCAACTCACATATCATTCTCTCTGCATCTCTTCATTCAATAAAGTCAGTGCAACTTAGCAATCCAATTAGCCAACTTAAGTTTTACAGTGTATTATTGGTGACCCGAATGGAGTATATGAAGTGCGTTGTTACCTTGTATTGATTTTTTTTTTGGCACTATTTCAGGCTTTGAGGTTCTTATCGGCACGGATTATCGGTTCATGAAATATAAGAAGGATTTGTTTAGCCACAGGAGTAAAGAGTTAGATAGAGAGTTGATGGGAATAGAACAAAACAATCAACTCAATGTCTCCATTGCTTCGTACTTAAAACTGCTTTCTGGATATTTTCTTATTCCCGCTGCTCTTAAAACGCTTGAGTACTTGATACGTAGGCACAAGTGAGTGAGCAGTCTATTTGGTTTTGATTATTCACGTTTGTTTGAGCAATGTGTTGCGAATTGTCTTCTTAGGGGTGCTCTCATTTTGCCTCAGCTTCTTTTATCCTTGTTTGGTTTTTGATGTGGTTTGTTGAGTTTCAGGATTCATGTATACAACAACGAGGATTTGATTTTGTGTGCTTTGCCGTACCACGACACGCATGCATTTGTTCGGATAGTACAAATACTTGATACAAGGTTAGAAAGATATGATTATATGTTTTTGGTTTGGTTGTGAGTTAGACTACTGGTTGGAGTGGGCTTCTGATGTTTCTCTTAATTTATGTAAAGGAATACTAAATGGGCGTTTCTTGATGGTGTGAAAGTGTCTGGTGCACCGCCGCCTAGAATGGTCATAGTGCAGCAGTGCATCCGTGATAAGGGCATATTAGATGCTCTATGCAACTATGTGAGTGATTATTCTGTGTTTAGTTATGAATTTGGAAGTTGTTCAGTGGAATCAAATAATCATAGTTAAGCATTTGGTTACAGGCATCTCCGTCAAAAAAGTCTCAACCTTCCCGGCTTGTAATTGGATTTTGTACTGCTGTTTTTGTTGAAGTTTTGGGCACTGTTGTGACTGTTAATGATGATCTTGTAAAGAGAATACTTCCTTTTGTGGTGTCCGGTCTTCAGCCAGGCGTGCAGGGAGCTTCAGATCACAAGGTTAGTTTCCAAGGAAATTATTTCTATGCATTAACTAAAATTTAAAACTGATTATAGTCGGGCATCACATTGTATTATGATTACCATTTCATTAGTAGGAAAATTGAATTGCTTTCCAAGAATAGAATTTGCTCATTTGCTCTGCTATATCCATTAGTGTAATATTGTTCATCACAAATAGGAATGGTAATGCAGTATTTTTTACGTGGTATAAGTTGGCCAGAATCTTGTTAAAAAATATCATTCACTGTTACTAATTGCTATGTTTATTTTTTTGTTGAAATTATGGGGTTTTAAGTATAGGGAGACATTGTATGATTTTAAATGATATGCTACCGAGTATTATGATGAATTACAATGTGATATTATATTCATGAAATCTAAAGCATCAACCCTTATTTATATTGATCATATGTCAAACCTAAGAGATAATGATAATATAGGGAAACTGATCCTATAACATAATCTAAGATACTCAAAGATATGATAAAATATTCACATATTCTAACAATACACACACACACACACACTTATTGTGTATTTGAGCTATGTTTCTTGGCACCTTCCTATGCAATTTTTGTCAAATTGTCCTTTTATACACAGGCTGGTTCTTTGATGATCATTGGTTTGCTCGGAAACAAAACTGCGTTAGCTCCCAAACTTTTGAATAGTTTGATACGTTCAGTTGCTGAAGTTGCTCATGGGGAGGCCGAAGAGATGACAGATCTCCACTGGTTTAGATTGTCCCTTATTACCTTAATCAGTCTTGTTCAGGTACTTGTGTAATCATGTGTGCATTTGTGTGGAGTAGCTTGTGTAGAGTTTAAATATAGGTATATATCCATTTTTATTTTAATTTGTTCTGTTGGATTTTTCTTAGTCTCAAAATGTTGAAATACTCCCCACAAAGGCCTTGGAGATTTTAAAGGAAATAAGGTAGGCTGCCTCAAACTACTCAACTTATACACAATCAGTCTTTGACCTTTATTATTTCTGTATTTATATTTATATTTTATTAAGTTCCTTTTCATATAGGGACTTGGCAGGGCTTTTATTGGAATTATCTAAGGAGTTTAATATTGAAAAGTTTCTCCGTGTGCTTTTCGACTCCTTGATTGACTGCAGGTGTGCATTCTATGATTGTTTTTCAGGAGATATTCTTTAAGTCATATTTTATAGGTTATATTTTGTGCTGATTGTAACACATTTGCAGTTCTTCTGATGAAAACTGTCAGCGGACTTTGCTATCCTTGGTAGAAAAAGTGCCCATAAATAATATTGTTTATCATGTGGTCACTAAGATCCTTTCAACATGTGTGAAATTATCACAAAAAGTTGATGACTCAACTTCCATGTCAGGTGTGTATTATGATTCTGAATTGTAGAAAGCTGGTCACTTAGTTCTTATAGTTATAGCATAACTGTTGTACCCCAAGTTATATATCCTGATCTACTTCATAATGTCGAGCTAATAATAATTCATACCGAGACTGAGTCAATGAATTTCAATTGAAAATATATTAAATGAAAATCCCATTTGGTGATTTAGAAATCACTTCTAAAAGATTCTGTAAAAAATTGTTTGAACACTTGTGATAATCTAAAAACAAATGACCATGGAGGCATTTTAGGTTATTGGGCAATTATTTTCACCATGAATTTTGATCTTACTTCGTGTTTGTCTTAGTTTATTTTGGAGGCACAGAAGTTTTTTCTTGGCAACTTATTGCGAAATTAGTTTTTCCCATGCAGTACTTTCCAAACATGCAAATGCAATAGATGCATGATATTAAAAGTATTCAACTTTGCACGGATTTGTTTTCGGTTTCAATATTACCTAAGCAATAAAATATTTGCTCAGTTTGTATAAGTTGTAAGAATTGAAACACCAGAACAAAAGCATTGAATTATACTAAATGGTAACAGCACTCCATTTCTTCAGTATGTAAATTAACCCTCAATGAAGAGCCAAGCTGCTCTCAAATCACACTTGTTAAGATGCCTTATTTTCAAGGAATCTTAATCCTTTCTCTAACAGTTTAATCCTGTATTGTAACTTGTAAAGGAAATTGGAATTGGAAGTTGAGGTCTAAAATATGCCTTCAAGACTTCAAGGGAAGTTTTATTTGTTAAGAATCTGTATACTCTTTTGACCTGTCAATTCCTTTTCACCTTTAAATAACACTATAATAGATTTACGGGGAAGATACATCGGAGGACCGGAAATTGCATATATTACTGTCCAATACATTAATGCTTCCAACAATCCTTTTTGATACTAACTATATTTTGGCCATGTTTGAGCATGGAACATCTTTAAAGAAACAAAATTGGAGTGTTGTCTTCAAATTGCATCTGAGTAAATGGTTCATGATATATGATCTATTTGTATCATATGTGCAGATTATCTCTTCAATAATTAGTGTACATGTTAAAGAGTTTCATTGATTTCTGACAATTCTGTGGTAGATTATTATTGTCAAGTTGTGCCACTGAATAATTTTGTCTGTTTTTCTTATCATGGCTTTTGTTTTTATTCATTTAGCTCCATATGACTTTATCTTTTTAAATACATATATACATGTCAGTTTTCAGTTGTTGCCTAGCTCATTTATTATTGTCATAATTTTGGTTTGTCAAATGTTGATTAGCTGGGTGGGCAAAAAAGGTTCTGATTATTGTTAATACAAAGTACCCTTCTGAACTACGTGGTGCAGTTCATCATTTTCTTCAGGTATGCTGATGAATTTTCTTTTTGTTGTTGTCATGCATTGTTACATTGTCTACAATGGTTTGAACCTTGAACATTTTGAACAGGATAACAAAACGCGTTCTAAGAATGATGATTCATCATATAAGGTTTTATGTAAGATGTTGGATGGGAATTTGGACTCGTCACTTGGTACCTCAGATTCTAAAGTTTGGTTAGGCCTGTATCATCCAAAGGTATTGAACTATTGATTATTGACCTACTGTTGAATATTAGGTGTATGTAATTCTAAGAGTTTGTATTCTCCTGTTCAATTGGGATCAAATATTTGTTTGTTGTAAGAGCTTCACAATTCTTATTTGATATTGTATAGGCTGAAGTTCGACGTGCTACGCTGCTTGAATTAAATTCTTCTGACATCCTGAAAACCAATGTGGTTGGTTCAGAGGTATATATGCTTTGCTAATCTTCTCCTGTCCTCCCAAAACCTTATGCTTGCATTAATTTGTATTTTTCGCTTATTACATTGGTTGAAACATCCTTGATGTTGCTCCTTTTGGTTGGAAAAAGTTGATTGCTTTCACTTGATGTGGTTTATTTCCTTTATATACCTGTCCTCCCAAAGCTGTATGTTAATTAATTTGTATTTTTTGTTTTTGACAATGGTTGAAGAACATCCTTGATGTTTCTCTTTGAGTGGCAAAAGTTTTAAGTTTTTGCTCTATGTGGTTTATGTTGTATACACATGCGCGCACACACACAAAAGGATGGATAACTTTTATCTTTCACACCATTCAATGACTTCTTACTGGATAACTTTCATCTCAAACCTGCTTTTGGATTAAATTTTCCAATCATATAAATCATATTTACCAAATTTTTGTTTAATCCAAAATTATTTGATACCTCATTGATATGCATCAAAATTAATGTTATTTAAAAATAAAAACATTTGATTTTCTTCTTATTGTTCATTTTTCTACAAAATTTGAAAAATATTTTTCATTATATTTAAGTACAGTTCAATTGTTGGATTTTATATTTTATAATGATGTAAGAATAGTGTAAACTGATCCTCTTATGTATGTGTAATTTCATGGTTTATGTTATTTTTATATGAAATTATGAGTTGATTCCATGTTGAGTTAGGGATCTATATATATTATTGTCAAAGTTCTTACTAGGGTGTGTTAATACTGCTTTTCCATATTCAAAGTCTACAACTTTTGACTAACCCCAAAACACATCTTGTTGATCAGAATCTTATAAGCATCCAAGAGGCCATATTAAGACTGCTTGATGATAAAGATCTAACAGTTGTTCAAGCAGCTTTACTTGTTGATGGCTTGCCAAATGTAATAGATTCTTCTAAGCTTCTTGTTGCACTACAGAATGTGCTGAGAAGATGCACTGGCAAACTGCTATCAGGTAATTGTGGTATATTAAAAAGAATTTGGTAGAAATTCATTTATATCATTTCTGTGTAATATTGAAGAACTACAGGGCATTGCATTGTGACTTATTCATATGATGGGAAAAGGAGTTTGTTTGTATTCCTGTTTGATGGTGATTGATGACTGTTAAGCGGTGGTGGAGTTATGTGCAGAGAATATAGGCGTTGACTTATAGATGTCCAAGTTTCCTTGATGTTTTTCCAATGGTTCAACATGTGCTTATGCTTATGTCTTTTGTCTATTATGGGATTGATTTGTTCCATTGAGCTTATATTTTCCATTTCATTTTAAATGTTGTCTGCTTGTTCATTGTTGTATTTATTTATGTTGACCCAGACAGATATAGCCTTCAATCCATACAACACTTCCCCTTGAATTTTTCTGAGATAATCTGCTTTTAATTAGTACTGACGGGTGACTAGGGTTGTGAAACCCATCTTAGAATGTGCAGTCAGTTATAAAGAAAACTTTAATTGGGTTTATACCTTAGTTAAAATGGGGGGAAAAAGTGAACTTAGTGAGGGTAGGATGAGCTCTAGCTCCCCAAAACATGTGCTGTGGAAACTGGAAAGTATATAATGTTGCTGTACTGCTGTTACTGGAGTATATTTGACCTCACAGAATTACAGCTAGCAGTTTCCTACCTTCCCGGCGAGAAAACTTATTCCAGTTTCCTACCTTCCTAGAGATGTTTGTATTAGATATTCTTTAACCAAATGATCTTTACTTGGTTCCTTAGTAATGATTCATTCAAGGATGATGCATCTAGACCAAGAGTGGGCAGAATTGAATGAAATATGTAAATTGTATTCTTTATCTACTGCATGTATGATTTATTATTTATATGCCCCCATTCTCTTCTTGTAGGTTCAGCCGATAATCACAGTCTAACTACTGAAGTTGCTGTTGCTTGTCTAAAGAATGCCATCTCCTACTTCAATGATACTGATTACTTGAAGAATGTTGCTGCTATGATTTTTCCGTTACTCCTTGTTCTACCACAGGTTGTGCCTAACTTCAGATTTAATATTTGTTTTCTGGATAGAAAATTTAACATATCTTTTATCTAGTGTCTTTTATTTTGTAGCTTTTAGATTTTCCCTTGTCTCGGTGATTATCAAATAACCACTTATTTTGCCATGTGCAGACACAGAGTTTGAATTTAAAGGCCCTGGCACTGGTAAACAAAATAAACTGGCCATTTTATCGGAATATTGCTGTGTCTTCCTTTGGAGAAGGGGTAAATATCTACTTTAGATTTTTTTTTCTATATATTTATATTTAATGTACACTTGCAATATGATGAAACTTAGTTATGTTGCTCAAAAAGGCAAGTTTGTCAAACTCAAGATCCTATATAGGATTTGCCAAGGTGAACTGATGATATGAATTAAGCATGTGGTCCTGTTGCATTTGGAAAAGCAAGATATTGAAAATTGAAATGCACATTTTTTATAACCAATATTAGTTTTAGGGGTATTGTGAGAATAACCCAATAGGAACATGTCTAGTGCCTGAACATTATGTTACTACCAGTGCTTGAAGTGGGGGTTTTCTCATAGACATTTGGTTTCATCAGATATCTCAGTTGTTAATCACAACCACTCATGAATATGTTTATGTCAGATGAAATCATGAATCACCTTTCACTTTACTGACTCTTGAGGTAAAATTGCAGACAACAATACCTGGAAGTTTATCTTCAATTAACTTGAAGACTATCAATAACTTGGCTGAGAATTTCATGGTCCATCCTGAAGATCATGTTGCTTGGTTTGTTGAAAGTTGCAGTGATTTGGAGTTGTCAAAAACAATCTTCTGTTTTGTTCTCTTGCAGTCTCTTTTGATAAAACCAAAAGGTCTGTTTTCTCCTAATCTTTTTCAATTCCATTTTTTCAGAAATAGTGTGTTACATGTTTACTTAAATATCTTACGTCGTTTAATGACCGAAAAATGATGTTTGAACAAATAAGTCAGTAATGAATGTTTGAAGTATATCTTATCCTTCCCCTATGTGTACTCTCCTCTTTCTCTATTAGATTTCTTTGTCAAAAAATTCAAAAGTTGGGATTAAGAAACGGCCAATATTGACTTCTTACTTTTGATTACAGATGAAGACATTTGTGCACTATTTGAACATGTATTTCCTATTCTAAAGGCCGAGTGGGAAACTTCAGTGACTGCTGGTGATGTCTTATTGGAAGAGGTACAAAGGATTTACTAGCATATGGGTGCTGCTTTTGTTTGTCTTCTTTTTTGTGATGAGTAACTAATTTTTTTATTTCTGTTGTAACTGCTGTGATTGGGATTGTTTTGCAGTTCAATTCTGAAGTGTTAGACTGGGATTGCAGTGCATTCTTTAATCATCTTTTGTATGCCAATCTAAGATCGCTACATGTGAGGGTTATGATTTGCATATTTTGGAGGCTGCTAGCTTTACTAATATCAGTACTACCTTCTGACATTTTGCTGGTTAGTAATTCCTTTACTATTTATAATCCTGTAATCAATTTTGTCTTGTGAATCTTCTTTCTTTCTTGGAATTTGTTGCTGTTAGACTCTCACTGTTCAACATTGGTTGGATGGATGCACCTTTTTTAAAATGCAGCATGATGATGATAAGTGGGTCAGCAAGATAAGGGATTTGTTTGTATTTTTTGCTTCCTCAAAATTGAAGCATGCATTCCGTGAACACCTCCATTACTTAGTAGCACAGTGCAGAATATCACCTCCTCGCCTCTTATCCAAGTTTTTCACGGAGGAAGGTGCTACACTTGTTCCTTTTGTTTGATTTTCTCATATTTTAGTTGGACAATGCAGTGTTCCTTCCACTTTGAAATTACTGTTTGTGTGGACTATATATATTCAACAGTAGTGCAAATATAATCAATGCCAAAACAATTTATAGATAACACTACTTCCTAATTTGCATCGAACCTAGCTATGTCTAGTATAGCTAAGTATTGTAGTTGTAAGGTTTTTGTACCTAAACCAAGAATTGCAATAAATTTTTGTTTTTAGTAAAATAGTTTATAAAATTTATATTATTCTCTTTTTCTACATATAAGCACAACAGAGTTAGTGTTTCGTCCATCTGTTGAAATCATGGTGTTTTAATTGATATTTCCAATTCTGCTGGTCTTTGATTCAGAAGTCAGAACAAATTCCAATTGGATTGATATTTTTGTTTAATCTTTCATTCTGCAGGTGTTCCTGCTGCAGTCCAGGTTGAAAGTCTTCAATGCTTTGCATTTCTTTGTAGCCTGTCTCCAGATAGATTGCAGATTGAACTTTTAGCTGAGTTTCCTTCTGTTCTTGTTCCTTTGGCAGGGGATAATCAGGTAAGACTCTGTTAGCTTTGACCTGGTGTACTTCTTTTCTCCTTTTTTGCACACTGCCAATTTATAATTCTTGTTGATATCCTATGTTATTTCTATTCATGTTTTTGCTGTTTTATTCATTTCTGAGGAAATGGCATTGGCTCATGATTTCTTTGCATCTTTGAATTTTCTTCCAGACTATAAGGGTTGCTGCCATGAAATGTATCGATTCTTTACGTACATTGTGGTGTCATGTTGAGCGTTCTGGCAAGAAAAATGGTATTTTATTGTTAGAATACTTTGATCCAGCCCTTAATGCATAATTAATTTTACATTGTCACGTTATAAGTTTCTAAACTGGTAAGAACAGGGAGCAATGCAACGTGGATCCATTTTGTGGGTGAGCTTTTGCTGTTGATGGATCAGCAAAAAACACTCATATTGTCCGACAAGAAATTTCTTCCTTCATTGTTTGCATCCACTTTGAGCTCATCCTGTGAAAAGACTAAAAACATCTTGGTACCTCAAGATGTAGAAAACAGGTATTTATAATATTAATATGACAATTCTTGTTTTCAATGGCATCACTTTTATTAATATGGGTTTTCGCATGAGGGCTGTTTTTAGCTAACACTTATTTCTTTTGCCATGGTTGTTCTAGAATGATTGCTTATCTTCTCTTGTCTCAATTTTCTTCTTCTTGAGTTTAAGCTGTTACAGTTTGTAGGGAATTTAAGCTGTCGTTTTGTGTCATTGAGATGGATTGTAGGGATAAAATAGGCTTAATAATATTCTGTTGTGATTGGGTCTGATACTTGTGAATGTCATCTTGTAGCTTTCTCCAGCTTGATGGTTGTTTTTATTTTTATTTATTTTTAAGAATGTTCCATATCACTTTGTTTTTACTAGTTTCCGATATTCTTTACATCACATAGTTTCCAAACACATCTTTTCAGGTTTGACCAGCCTACAAAGCTAAAAATTCATAGCTTCATTTTGGGGTCTGCTCTTAAATTCTCTAACTACGGGAAGGTTTGGCGTCTTCACTCTTCACTATCTTCTATGTTGCTATTTATAATTTATTTGTGGAGATAGTGATCTAGATCAAGGTGTTCTGTTCCAGATTAACAGTGTTATGTGTGGGTTTTTATGCAATGCCAAGAGTATAAAGTAACATATTTATTGATGTCCCTGGCAGCTTTTGATTTTATCTTTGTTCAAAGGAATTGGGAATGCCCTTATGCATGTTCCTGAAGTTGGGCCATTGTTGTCCTCTTTTCTGGAGCAATACTATGATGAGCTCAATAAGTCTTGTCCAAATTTGTCAAGTACTGAAACTCAGATAATGTGCCTTTTGCTGGAGGTATGCATATAGTATTTAGTTTTAGCTTATAGGATTTTTATTGAGGTTTGGTGTGACCTCGTTCCTCATCTTGTGTAGACCTGCGTTATGTCATCTCCCTCTGGTGGAAATGATTTTCAACATATTTTACTGAAAGTTTTGCGGGTAAGATACTAAAATGTATATTTTTCCTATGTCATGTCCTGTTATTTTGAATTCACTGACTTGTCATAACCTTTCAGTTGGATGCCATTACTGTGGATGGCCCTGCCTATATAGAGCCTTGTATCACTGTCTTGAACAAACTTAACAGTCAATTCTACATGGGGTTGAAGGATGAAGTGAAGGTCTTATTGGCAGTATATCTATTTATTTCCATAGTTTGTTATTGTCATTCATGATAATTGATAAGTAATGCTTTAAAATGTTTGCGATGATTTGGTTCATTGTGTAGATGAAGAAAATTATCACCAATGTAGCCTTTATTTTGACCTAAACTGTTACTTTATTCTTGTACTTTTCAGGATAATTTATTTTGTGAGCTTGTGTTTTTGTGGCGTAATGATAATGGTGATGTACAACGTGCAACTAAAGAGGCATTAATGCGCATAGATGTGAGTTTCTTACTTTGTCAAATTTTATTAACCATGTGTTGTCTCAGTTAGTGTTCCTTTTTTTATGTATCTTTCTGGTTTGTGGGATTTCTTTAGTGGTTACTTTCAAAGAACATAATATTTTGGTATTAATCAATCCGGACATTTGGGTTCTTATCCTTTTAACAGAATTGTTTAGGGTATTTTTTGGGGTTATTTTACCTCCTTACAGTAGTTAATAAAAATGAAACCCCCTAGTTTTAGCTTCATGATCTGAGTATGGACAAACCACGACCACTCCTCCTTTGGCAGTATTTTTGTCCCTTCCTGATCATATTGTGAGTTTCTGGCATGCCTGCTGACCTTGACAATCCTCCTCTTGTCCTATCTTCCATTCTCTCTTCCGTCTGTGTCCCTGTTCTGTTCTGTTCCTTCCTTTCTTTTTATTTGATAGCAGACTTAACTGTGAAGCAGATGTTTGATCATTATCAGCTGGGTGTTTGGCTTCAAATTCTGTTTTCTGATCATTTTTTATTAACAACTTGTTTTAAAATAAAAAATTCAGCATTTATACATGTGTTATATAAATTTGAGAAGTTTTTTCATGCTCAGGAATGATAATTCCTTGGGTATGATTAAAACATGTTTGGTTGATCATGAATGTTCTTTGGAATATTAATGATACTTGGGAATCAAAGATTTTTACAGTATTAAATTAACAAATAAAAATAATGTGATATTTTTATTGCAGTAAAACTTTTCGTTACTCAGGAAAGTTAGGTTCTCATCTCCCTTATGAAATGATTTTGTGGGAAACCTATGTAAAAACATTCCCAATAAACAATGTTTCATAGGAATGCTAACTTTAAAATAATAAATCAAATAAGAGAAACTAATATTTCCAACTTCAGATTCTTGTGAAACTAAAAACTTCTTGCATACCAAATGCCTCCTAAAAGAAAGGCTAGCAACACTATTTGAAACACACTTTACTATTGACCAACATTTGTTTTAAATCACTCAGTTTTGTGGGTTCCACTTATTTAATGAAAGTTACTCATGATTGTATATATATATATTTTTTAAAATAAAATTTAACCAATAGCAGAAAGTATGTTAAAAGGAATGTGTTGTTAGCACTTGTGCAATCCCAAAGTAAGCTGAGGGGCAGATAATTGCTTCAGCCAATTGCATTCTATGTAGCATGGATTCGGACACGGCAAAATAAAAAAATATAGGATATGTGGACGGGTCATATATATTATGTATTATATATTGATATGAAGGACTCTGGTTCTGTTACGTGAGGAGAGGCATGAGAACTATTATCTTCCTTGTTTTTTTTGTTTTTATCAAGATTTTTTCTTTCTTTTTCTTTTTAAAATCCCGAATCTTCCCTTGTTTCTATTTTTACTAAGATTTTTTCTTTTTAAAAAAAAACTTGAATCCGTGCAATGGAGAGTTGGGTTGTGTGTGCCAGGGTGTTCGGTTGTGCCTGAGTCCACGACTAAGACATGTTTGATTTGTGTGGATGCGATCCGCTGTCGTGTCCGTGGTGTTCCGCTCCAGAACAATGTTGGTGTCCATGATAGTCCCATGCCGTCTCCGTGCATCATAGATTGCACTATGGATTGCAAATATTGTAATTTGTTTTCTTTTCTCCAATTCCTGTAAAACTAACCAGCAGAAACTCATGCTAAGTAGAACATAACTATAGCAGCCTTGCTATTCTGGAAATATTTTTTGTTTGCGTGTTACGGAATGCCTATTTGTCAGTATGCATGTGGTTGAATGCATTCAAATGTTTTTAATTATATTTAAAATTTGAAAAATAAACATAATATCTATTTGGTTAATTAATAGTATTTTGAAAAAGAAATATATATTCCATTTTGATCAGTGTCTAACTTCACCTAGTGCAATAAGGTTTTGTCGTTTGTTTTTAATGTTTCTCTTCAATTTTCAATGAAGTGGGATGGTTCTTCCAAGTTTTTATTTCGTAGAAGGAAGAAAAAAAAACAGAAATGAAATTGAGAATAATTGGTGGTTGTATTGGAATTGCAGATTAATTTCTCAACTGTTGGCCACGTACTTGAACTCATACTTGCACAGAAAAGTTGCATGATTAGTTCAGCAGATGAAAAGATGGAAAAGAAACAAAAATTGATAGGACATCAAGATGCAGGATATTTCCCTAATGACATATGTAGAAGAGATAATCCACTCCACATCCTTAGTTCCCTTCTTGATGTTTTGCTACTGAAGAGGGACATAACAAACAGGTAACTTGGTTACTTCTGGACATTACATTATGGATACTGCCAAGACAAAAGGTTAAAACATTTAAGTTTGCTAAACTCTCAGTTTGATTCTTGCAGGCATTTACTTTTAGAGCCCTTATTCAAACTTCTTAGAAATGCATTTTCAGAAGAATGGGTGAATGGTGCCTTTTTCTCCAAAAGAAGGCTAAGCTGTCCTTCTGAAGCCAATAATTCCATATTATATAATATTCAACAGACTCTGTTGATTATCCTAGAGGATATAATTATGTCTCTTAAAAGCATGGCTCCACTAAATGTACGCTTCCTGATTGTGAAGCTGGAAATTTTATGATGTTTACTTCAACATTTTGGCTATTTTCTTAAATTTATTTTCATGATTGTTGACAGGAAAAAATGACGAAGGAAATTAATATTTTATTACTGATAGAGTGTGCCAGGAATACCAATGTTGTAGCCACCCGCAACCATGTATTTTCTCTACTTTCTGCTGTAACTAGAGTATTTCCAGGAGAAGTTTTGGAGCATATACTTGATATTCTTGCAGTTATTGGAGAAGCAGCTGTCACACAGGTTTTTTAATATATGGTTTCCCTCTACTGAACTTGGGCATTCTTTTGTTTGAATTAACTTATTATATCTTTATCTTTTTATGTTTCCCTGATTGTTGAAAGTCCCATATTGCCTACCCCATTACTGGGGTACAGACAGCCTCACTTAATACCAATCGGCTTTATGATGAAATCTAACATGGCACTAAAGCCTATAAGGCTATAACCCATTTCTGTTGTTTCTGAGTTTCCTTTGTGCATCACTCGGTTGGCAAGCATATGTGAATGGGAGGTGTTGGAAAGTCCCAGATTGCCTACCTCAATTACTGGGATGGTTTATGTATTTTTTGGACAACTGTAGTTAATGCTTACTGCCTATTGGTTTTAAGTTGAAATCTTACTCTGCATTTCTCCAATCAATGCTTTTCAGTCACCATTTGAGATTTGATTTAAAAACTAATAGAAGTGCATGCTTAGTTTCTTATTAACTCTTGCAACTAAACTTTTAAGAAAAAAAATCTTAAATCATAATTCAATTTGTTAAGAACTAATAATTAAGTGTAGTAACTATGGTGTTGTCATTTTTCTGTTTTATGTGCCTGTAGATTGACAGTCATTCAAAGAATGTTTTTGAAGATCTTATATCTGCAATTGTTCCCTGTTGGCTGTCTAAGACAGATGATGTAAAGAAATTACTGAAGGTTTGTTTTTCATGGAAATGATTTTGGGATTTCATGTCTCTTAGCAGATTAACCTTCTAATATAGTTTTCTCCTTCAGATTTTCATGGATATATTGCCTGAAATTGTTGAGCACAGGAGGCTGTCAATTGTTTTATATCTATTAAGGTATTTTTGCTCTAAGTCATGATTCTGTTATCAATACTTTAGCCATTGGTTTGTGGTCTTCATCTTATAATGATGGCTGATTTGCAGAACTTTGGGTGAGGGAAAAAGCTTAGCTTCGTTGCTTATCCTACTTTTTCGTTCATTAGTTTCAAGGAAAGCTGCCTGTTTCCTTGATATTGAGACACCAGATGCTTTAACATTTTATACTGGAGAGTGGGAATATAAATTTGCGGTGCAAGTTTGTGAACAATATTCGAGTATGACTTGGCTTCCTTCTTTAGTCATGCTGCTTGAACAGGGGGAAAATGGTGATGTTGACCAGGCACTGTTTCTGGAATTGTTTGTTGCAATGCAATTTTCTTTGCAAAAGTTGCAAGATCCAGAATTTGTTTTTAAGTTGGATTCAGGAGAAGATACTGCTGTCATTCAGGTATAAATCCACATCAGATACATGATGCTATTGCTAGATACTTATATGCCTTTTAATGTCTTTATTCGGTTCTCTTAGAATGTGAGTTTGGGCCTAACTAAACCTTCAAAACTAGTTTGTAAGGTGAAGGTTGCCTCCCTCACATCAATTAAAAATTGATTTTTTGGTGAGGCACACATCTTGGGCTGATAATAAAGCTAGAGCAAACTTCATCATTGTGAACCCTAATACTCATTGTAGAATGTAGGTCATATTTGTTTGCTTTTTCTTTGCTGGTTCCATCCTGATATGCTGTTTTTCTTTCTTAGTGTGATGCCAATGGCATTAGTGTTACATGCTTATATTTGAGCAAATGTTCTATCTTTGAATAAACCTATAAACACTTATTTTTAGATGAACATATTCATAATCAAATTAAATGTGATGACTTATTCAATATTGCAGAGGGCACTGGGTAAGCTTATGGAGCAGGTTGTTTTACTCTTGCAACTTGTAGATGCAAGAAAAAAGCAACTGAATTTCCCTGTAGTTTTGAGGAAAGAGTTGAAGGAAACTATGCGTGCTGTTGTAAAGAATCTAACTACAGTCATGATACCTTATGTATACTTCAAGAGCATAATTAAATTGCTCCGTCATGCAGATAATAATGTTGGTAAAAAGGTATGGTTTTTAATAGTTACAATATATAAGATGCTATTAGGATCTTGCATTATGTTGATACAAGGGTAGACTATAATTTGTTGGTGCCTTTATATGCTTCTTAGTATTCTATTCGGACATCATGATTTTAATTTTTCCTTAATTTGGTGGGTAGGAACAGTGGAAATTTATTATTTTCATATGATGATTGTATTTTATTCACTTGTATTACATATACAATTTTTTCTGCATCTAAACATCTTGGCAAAAGAAATTTTATCTTTAGATGTGTGCCCATGGGCACATGATAAGATGCCAAACATAATGTTTTTATCAGAAAAGTACTTAAGTAATATAAAGCATTTAATAAAGTGCACTTATTACTTGTTCGGCATGTGCCCATGAGCACACAATAGAAATTCCCAATTTTTATTTGTGTGATTTGATATTTCTATTTCTTGTGCTGCAGGCTCTTGGGCTGTTATGTGAGGCTGCAAAAAATAATAAAAATGTCAGCATAAAGCTTAAAAACAACAAAGGATCAAGGTCAACTACAAGTTTTCTATTGCTTAATATGAATGAAACTTCCCCAGAATCACTTAATAAATTGTGTTTAGAAATTATTCGAATACTTGATGATTCATCAAATACCTCCTTGAAAGTTGCAGCAGTTTCAGCATTAGAAGTTTTGGCTGAAAGGTTCCCTTCGAATAATTCCATCTTTAGTCTGTGCCTTGGATCTGTTACAAGATATATTGCTTCTCATAACTTGGCTGTGGCTTCTAGCTGCCTCAGAACAACTGCTGCCCTGATCAATGTTCTAGGTCCAAAAGCACTGGCAGAACTTCCTAAGATTATGGACAATGTGATCAAGTCATCTCGTCAAGTATTGTCTAGTTTGAATGAGAAACCCCAAACCAATGATGTTTTATCAACCTCAAATGAATCCCATTTTTATGTTCTGGTCACTTTGGAGGCAGTTGTGGACAAGCTTGGTGGATTTTTAAATCCATATCTCACTAATATCATGGGGCTTCTGGTGCTTCATCCTGAATATGTTTCTGGAATGGATGCAAAGGTGGAATCTAGAGCTCATGGAGTACGAAAGCTTCTTGCTGAAAAAATTCCTGTAAGGCTTGTTATTATGTAGCATTGTGTGACTGGTGTGTAATGAATACGCATGTTTTCTTTACCAAACACTTTATTTTTTTACAGGTTCGACTTGCCCTTCCACCGTTGTTAAAATTATACCCGGCTGCCATTGAGGCTGGGGATAAAAGCTTAACAGTTGTGTTTGATATGTTGGAAACCATAATTGGTACAATGGACAGATCATCTATTCTAGCATTCCATGGAAAGATATTTGATCTTTGTTTGATTGCTCTTGATCTGCGCCGTCAAAGTCCTCCTTCAGTTCAAAAAATTGATGTAGTCGAAAATGGTGTGCTTAACTCGATGACTATTCTGACCCTAAAACTTACTGAGAGCATGTTCAAGCCACTTCTCATAAAGAGTATTGAGTGGGCAGAATCTGAAGTTGATGAAAATGCGTCTACCGGAAGCATAGATAGGGCCATATCTTTCTATGGCATGATAAATAAGCTTGCAGAGAACCATCGGTAAGTCTGTTTATATTATACCAAGTTGATTACCTTGTTATTGTTCTTTTTAGAAAACGGTCTTTGAAATAAGCATGCTTTGAGTTCTTAGTAAACCAACACTTCATGTTATGTTGAATATTTTAGGTATATTGTATTTTATTCTTGGAAGAAGAGTTTGACTTTTTGTTTGCATCATAGTAGTCAATAGCGGTTGTCGCGGCCGCAATCGCGGCGCATCGGAGCGGAGCGGCTTTGTGCTGCTTCAAAAAGTTTGTTGCGGAGCGTTTTGAAGGAGCGGTCGGAGCGGCCGCGAAAGCGGCGGCGCGATCGCGGGTGGGCGACGAAACTTCACTTCTTTTTCTGGCGGATCTTCGTCGGTCTGTCTTCTCCGACAGCTGTGCTGTCTTCTCCGACAGTGGCGCTGTCTTCTCCGACAGCGGCTGTCTTCTCCGACAGCGGCGCTGTCTTCTCCGATGGTGGCTCAGTCTTCTCCGGTATCTACAGTCTTGTCTTCTTCTAAGAGGAGTGGTGACGGCTGCTTGAGTCTCTAGGTGGAAAAATAATTAGGCTTAGGCCAAATGGGCCAAATAGGCCAAGTTTTATTTTATCTTTTAATTTGATTAAGGGCCTTTTACTTCACTATTTTTTTTTTAAAATAACTTCTCTTTATTATTAATTCAGATAATATTTTAAGTAATAAAAAATTTAATATAAGACCTTAAATATTTTGTTTTCTTAATTTTTTTATTTTGTTTACTTCACTATGAATTTTTAATTATTAAAAATGTTTAATACATGAATTTAGAGTTATTTTTTGTTATTTTTAGCTTTTATATATATATTATTAATTATTTAATATATATAAATTAATATTAAAATAGCGGTTATACCGCTCCGCGTCATCCCTCTATCCCAGTTTTAGGGTGGACCGCTCCGCTCCGCTATCCGGGATTGACTACTATGGTTTGCATTAAATTATGTATATTAATGTATTGTGTAGATATGAAAATTGTGTATTGAACAGCTGTAAATATATGTCAACCACTTGTGGCAGTTGAGACTTGAGACGGTAGATACCTTTATCAATTTTGTCACAGTATTAAATTGATGATTAATTTTCAATGTAATTTCCTTAATTATTTTTGTATACAGCAATGAAATAAGTTTATAATCTGTCTATTATGATGTTACCTTGTTTTGTTTTCTCAAATTAATGGTTAAAGGACAGTCCTTTAAGATCTTGCTATATCCTTATTTGTAGGTCATTGTTTGTTCCTTACTTCAAACACTTGCTTGGTAGTTGTGTTCATCATCTTAGTGATGGTGGAGATGTGAAAGTGTCTAGTGTGAGTCGGAAAAAGAAGGCCAGGATTCTGGACGATGGTATTCTAAAAGAACCAGGCAGTGTGTCTATCAAGTGCTGGCATCTCAGGGCCCTAGTCTTGTCATCCTTACACAAGTGTTTTCTCCATGACACAGGGAGCTTGAAGTTTCTTGATTCCACAAATTTCCAGGCAAGTGACTTCTTTACATAATATCAAACACGTTTTCTTTGATTTGCTTAGTATATATGTATCTGATATTGATACTCTTGAATACTTCATGATATCCTCTTTATGGATAATCTCAAGAAAGAAATGAAATTGATACTCTTCCTATTTGTAGAAAATGGGGTGTGATTTATGATGATAGTTATTTATAATTTCTGTTTCTAGTAATGTCCATGAAGTATCTTTTAATTTAGATTTGCAGAATTGTAATTTTATATATATATATATATATATTTATTTATTAGATTTGCAGAAGTTTTGTCCATATATGTGTGTATCTTACGTATAGTAGTATCTTATATAATTTTAGAATAATTGTATGGCTGTATCTGCAATGCATCACTATTTTTTTCATGATTTGGGGTAGTTTTGAACTTTTCATGAAATTCTCCAGGAAGACCTCTTTTTTTTTTTTTTTTTTCCATATAGTTGAGTTATTGGCTCATTCAACTTATTTTTAAATATTGATTAATTTGGAATTTTTCCATTCCAGATTAAAAATGCTTTGCTTGTTTTCTTCATTCCTTTTTCTCTTATTCCCATTTAGGAGTAAAATATTACTTAATTTTTCAGCTTCCTTCAGTAATATTCTTGTTTGCTATATTCTCTTATTGACTGTAATATTATGCTTGCTGCAGATGTTGTTAAGACCTATTGTTTCACAACTTGTCATAGATCCACCAGCTTTGCTGGATGACAGCATAAATATACCTAGTGTGAAGGAAGTTGATGACCTACTGGTTGTGTGCATTGGTCAAATGGCAGTGACAGCTGGATCTGACCTTTTGTGGAAACCTTTGAACCATGAGGTTAATTTTATGATTTCTACTTTTGATACTGACATACGAGTAAAATTCTGGCTTTACTATCTTGTTTTTCATTTTGGTGAAAAATGCATATGATCCAGTGTATTCAGGCACCACTATTACTTTGCAATGTTAAATGACTGATTCTACTATTCTCCCTATTAGCCCATTAGTTTGTGTGCATGAATGCGCCAATACGATGAGGAATTTTGATATATCTGGATATGTACACGTATGCATATATCATATCTGTGCATCATACATTAACTTTGTTCCTTTGTAGTCATCCATGCGTCATTTATGTGTCGAAAGAATATTGGAGCCGCTTGTATTTCTTGTTTTGGGTATTCGGTAATCTGAAGAGCTCTAGAATTATTTTGTATCCTGCATAGCATATGCTAGTAATTCATCTCACTATGTCACCGATAGCTGTTGTATTAAATTCATAAGCAACTGAATATCTTTCTGCCTTGTTTTGCAGGTTTTGATGCAGACACGGAGTGAAAAGTTGCGAGCTAAAATATTGGGCCTCAGAATTGTAAAATATTTATTGGAGAAGTTGAAAGAAGAATATCTAGTGCTACTGGCTGAAACGATCCCCTTCCTTGGTGAACTGCTGGAGGATGTGGAGCTTTCAGTTAAATCTCTTGCTCAGGAAATTCTGCAGGAAATGGAGTCTCTCAGTGGGGAAAGCCTTCGGCAATACCTATGATGTATGAGCAAAGAGCTAGAGATATGCCAGTGTAAAATGTGGGTTAATTAAGGAAAATTATCATTTATTTATTCTGATAAAGGTGAAAGTTCCATTTTTCCCGTGTAATCTTTAAACTCTCACCATCATTTAAAACACAATGCTACGTTCCCCAGAGGAATTTAATCAGAGGTTCTTCTAATAGTATCTTATTTTTATTGCTACGAGTCTTCTATTTCTTATTGTATCTCTTGTTCAATTTTAAGCTTTATCATTTCATAATTTTTTAAAATTGAGTTTTTTAATATGTTGCATGGATCAAAATTAAAAATGTTGAAACTATTTGATATTTTATTTTATTATTTTAAATTAATAGATAATTATATAAGTATTTTATATATTAATTTGAATTTAAAAAATGTAATATTAAATAATTTTTAATTATTTTAAAAATTTGTAGACTTGATTTATGTATTAAAAAATTTTAATTTGATAATTTAATTATTAAAATTTGATGTAAATATGAATTATTGAATGAAGTTTAAATGAATTTATTCTCAAAGTTAGTAAATTTTTCATATATGCATATATATTGTACGCATAAAAATTAAATCTTCAACTCCTAGTAATAAGCTTATTTCTTTATATTAAATGATAAAGGAATATGTGCTCTAATTTCTTTTAGAACAAGATATTTGTTAGAGAAGTTTTTATGCAATGGATTGATCTTTGAGAATCAAATTGTTCAAACTCTTAACCCTTGAGAATTTGACAAATTGTGGTATGAGTTGAAGTTATTGATGTCGCATTGTCATTTAACTCAAAATGAGAATTGAAATGTGAGAGAAAATAGCATTAATCCCAATTTTTATATATATTTTTTTGTAAGATAATTTTTATTTGAGTTAATCACTTATATACTGTCAGTGTAAAAAAAATTTATACTGACAACCAATTATATATTTTAATTGGGTCATGTCACTGTTAAACTCTTTTTATTTATTGAACTTGAAGTATAGGTTTCATACATATTCAAAGTAAATATTTACTTTTTGTTGTTTAGATAATATTTAGATATGTACTTGATATTCATGATACTCAACTTATATAAGATGATGATATGAGTTTTAAAGTTTCAATCTTTAGAGGACTATTTTAAGTTTAATTCTTTTGAGTTTTATTATTTAATTATTGCATCTCATCTATGTATATATTTTTGCTTTTAAGCTTCATTATTCATTGTATTTTTTTTATTAATTATTATTATTATTATTTATTTTTTTTTTGTAGTCTTCAAGTACTATATTGATTTTTTTTTTAGAAGTTTTTTATAAAGATTTAGTGTAGATTGTGTTGGTACCCTTTGAATTTGTTTATTTTGATCTTTGACATTTATTTGAAATTCTATCAAACTTAGGTGGTTTCATAACATTGAAATTTAATTAAATTTTTCTGTAAAATATACCTACTAATTATTTTGACTTCAAGAGTAAAATAATTTTGTTTCATGGTAACTTTAGATAATGCCAATATGCTTAAATAGCACCTCTTATGCTTTATAATGAAGATAAATCATGTAGGAAAACGCATCAGAGTTCAAGAATTAAAACAGCACTAACAAGGAAGACAATCGGTCTTAAAAGTTGAACAGAACGTAGAAACAACACTGGCGAGAACAAACAAATTGAAGGGTAGTTGCTAATATCATTATCAGGTAGTTACTCTGCTTAATTTCATTCATTCTTCTTTGTAGCTGTCTTTCGAGCAAGGACTTGGTATATGCTACTGATTCCCGATAGCAATGGCCAGATCCACAACCCTTTCGATAAATTCATATTGGTACCTACAAAAACAAGGTTTTTAAGTACATTCATTCACTGTTTTCTCTCTTTCTTAGCCAAGAGGGAGGCATATGTTAAATGTTAAATAATTATGAATCATATCATATTATTAACAACTAGAATTAACTTGAGCAACTAAAAATAATTAAAAGAATTACATACTCATTTTCTCTGAAATGGTGTCCATCCAAGTTGGCAATTTCAGACAAAGCAGACCTCCAGTTTTGCACCTTCTCAGAGTCCTTTCCAAATCTTTCTTCATGTGCAGCCATGGCTTCACCATAACTTTTTGTTTGATTGCACACATCAGACTTTTCCACATAGTGAAATATTGGCCAAACCATCTGATTCTTGGTCTTCTTGCACTCGATGATCTTGGCAAGTTCATCAAGACACCACGTGGAATATGCATAGTTTTCAGAGAAGACGACAATTGAAAGTCTTGACATTTCAATTGCTCGCATGAGAGTTTCTGAAATTTGGTTGCCACCCTCCAATCCCTCATCATCCATGAAGATATTGAACCCCTCCCGCCTAAAGGCATTATAGAGAAAACCTGTGAAAGAGTAGCGAGTATCTTCTCCGCTAAAACTCAGGAAAACATCATATCGGGGCAAAGATTCCACTGCTAATCGCACAATCTTTCGGATGAATTTATATTCGTACCTATAAAGCACAGTTCCTTTTAATTCATTAGGATATGTTTTTATTAATCAAAATTATACCTTCAACATAAAACTTGGTTAGATAAACTTTTTAAAAAATATTTTTAGAAGAGAAAAATATGAGAAAAAAAAATGAAATAAATTTTTTTATAAGTTAATTTGTAGAGTTTTTTATTTATTAATTTCTCTAAAATCTTTTTTTTTTTTTAACTCATGCATAAATTAATTTAACTTATAGAATAGTTTGTCCAGAGAGGTGAAAGTCACTTTGAAAAATGATGAATAGAATAGCAGACATCCCATTTAACAGGTTACGGATAAAATAAGTAATTGAGAAGAGGTGTGCACATAATTATGGAAGTTGATGAGTAAAAGTAACGAATGATACCCAGTTTCGTAAACCCATCCACTCAAGCTGCTGACTTCAGTCAAAGCACTCCTCCATTTCCACACCATCTCACTCTCATGTCCAAATTTTTGTTCAAATTCAGACATGGCTTCGCCATAGATACCGCTCTGACGCCTTACTTCCGACGGTTCCACTTCGTAATAGATGGGCCACACCAGTTGGCCCTTGGTTTTCATACACTCAAGGATGGTCACAAGTTCATCAAGCCTCCATGAGGAGGATGCATAGTTTGGGGAGAGCACAACGATCGAAATCCTCGATTCTTTAATTGCTTCAAGAGCTTTGGTATCACCATTTTCATTGAAAAAGGTGTTGATTCTCTTGCTGCGCAAGGCGTTGTAGAGATTACCGGTGAAGGTGTAGCGGTTGTCTATACCTGCAAAACTGAGAAAAACATCGTACTTGTTGCTGCTCCTTTGTTCCTCGGTGGCACCATTCGCCATCAACATGATCAACTGTGTACAATGCAAAATTGTTGCTCGTTGACTCCTCCTTGGCCCTTGCAATGGCCAAGATGAGATCAACATATTTAAAACAAGTCAAGTCTGAATGAATATTTTTTATAAATAAAAAATAAAAAATTTGTCACAATTTTGCGAGTTGCGTTAAAAATATTTATTTAATTATCTAATTTTAAAGTAAACAATTTAAATTTTAAGAATTTTTTTACATTTTTTCAAATTTTTATCATATTATTTATATAACAATTAATATATTATTCTTATAAATTAAATTTAGAATGTTATGGGTTTAATTTCATGATTAAGATAATGTTAATATTTAATACAAAAAACCATTTGACCAATGTGAAACTTTGTATAAGCAGTGAAGGCAACGCGTGACCCAAATTAAATTTATAAACAATAATTTAAGGAAGACATATTTTCCTAGGTTTTGAGGCGGCCAGCTAGCCAACCTTGACCATACAATATTAATATTGATATATGTCTACGTGTCTACGTTCACAATATATATGGTTTGAGTTAATTGCATTGCAAATATTTGTATATTGCGTCTCTCATTTACCATTCTGAATGGCTATGTATCTGTCAAACATCTTTGGGTGCTTCTCCGACTCCGAGTGCTCACCAGAATCTAAAAGATACATATGCGATGGCAATGTTTGTGTTCTGAAAAAACCAAAGGAAAACATTGGAAAACAAACACTATCCAACACCAACAAGCCAAAGCAAAGCCTTCGGATTTCGTTTGCGCGTAAAAGGTCACCTGCTTCTGAATAGAGACGCTTCTGCATGCAATCCACGCAACAAACAGGTTACGTTATCATTGTGGTTCATTCCATCCTTTGCTTTGTTCAGTTTACAAGTTATTTGTTGTCATTAATTAGTTATTCTAGGAAGATAATACAGTGGTGGTAGCTTATTATATTTCTCATGTATACATCTTATACTCTTCTCATCAATCTTAAATTCTTAATGAGATTTTAACTTTAATTTGAGTCTCCAATTAATAACATGGATCACACTAAATTCTGCTATCGGCTGCGCACTGGGAACGACTATGAAGAGAAGCTAACATCAAACGTAGAGATGCTCTCTCGCCCAAAGAGATTGTAATAAAAATTATAATTAAAATAAGAGAAAGAAAATAAATTTGAAAAGAGGAAAGCTTTTAAATTGGATGTCAATAAATATTAAGGTAAGGAGTATTAAAAATATATACATAATTACCTGTAATTAAAAAAATAATTTTTTATTTTCTTTTTTTAAAATAGTAACTCTATTTCCTTAATTTACTATTCATTTATAATTTATACTTATTTTCAAATATTAATATTATCTTACTATTTTAGTAGTGAAGAGTTGGAATAGTATATTATATATAATCTTAAGTTCGAACTTTGTTCTGTCATTATAATTTTACTAAATAAAAAAAAATATTATTTCTCCAATATTTTTTCTCAATTTCTAAGAAAAATAAATGCCTTCCTATCGGTAAAAAATAAAACAGATATTACCCTCTTCTGCGTTCGAGTATGTTCTAGAATAAATAAATCAATGTGTGAATCAACAGTAGAAAGAATGATGTTAATGACAGGAGCAAAAGATTATCAAAATGCAAGTAAAATCAGGAAGTCAAAATCTAGTAATTAAAGAGAGATGAAGAAACTGACTTAATCTAGAAATAAAATTGTGAAATCAAAGTAAAAGTGACTTAAACGATTTCATGTTCTTTCAGTAAAGGTCACAATTTTGAGATGTCTGAGTAAAATTCACACATGCAAAACAAACGCTGTCATTTTGTGAGCTAGTGACTGCTTACAGATCAATTTTGGCTTCAAAGGAACTTCTAGGGTAAGATCAAATTCCCCAAATCTTCCTTCTAGTTGACACTCGTGCAAGGACTCGGTACATAGAGTAGAAGCCATTTTAAATTTTAGTGGCCATTTCCACAATTTTTTCAATTAATTCATATTCGTACCTACAAAAAGTACAAGGCCTTTTAATTCATCAAAGAATTTTTCACAAAAGTAATAGCCACACAACAAAATACACCAAAAGTCTTAACCTTTATAACAAACTTTCTTGAATCATAACTCGGAAATTAAAGATTGTTGGTGCAATTTGTTAGCGATGACTTCACCACAGTGAAGAAATATCAAAGATAAAATGCAATTCTACAACATATCGGAATAGATATTTCCATGAAAGCATATAATTTTGACATATTTTCACGAAAAAATCTCCACTGTTAACCGGTATATACTTATACTCAATGTCTCTAGCAACATAAAAAGTCATTTTTTATCGAATGGATTTCAAATTAACGGTTCAAAATTCTTTAAGAGGGGATGCATGTATTTGGAACTAATTAATTTGTACAAGTTTTCTCTCTATTAATTTTTTGAAAATCTTATTTTTAACTCATGATCTATTTTAAATTTATAAAAACCTTATTTTGAATTTCTTTTATATATTTTAAAAAAATAATTTTGCAGAATTTCTTTTATATAATAGACATTAATCATGAAAGTTAGGCATAAGTAATTGAATACTATGCAGTGTACCCGGTTTTGTGGTGCCACCCTTTCAAGTTGGCGACTTCAAGTAAAGCTAACCTCCATTTCTGCACCTTCTGAGAGTCGTTGCCCAACATGTTTTCATGTTCAATCATGGCTTCACCCCAACTATTTCTTTGATGCCTTAAATCCGATGGTTCCACTTTGTAAAAGACAGGCCAAACTAGTTGGTTTTTGAGCTTCATACACTCGAGGATCGTCAGAAGCTCATCAAGACACGAGGAGGAACGTGCATAGTTTTCAGAAAATACAATGATGGAAAGCCTTGAATTTTCAATCGCTTCAACTTCAATATTAGATTGTGAAATGTGGTCCCCATCGTTCATGAAGGTTTGGAATCCACTCCGAGACAAAGCATTGTAGAGAAAACCTGTAAAAGAGTAGCGGGTATCTTTTCCACAAAAACTCAGAAAAATGCTATAGCGGGACACTGTTGGTGACCCATCTAACAATGTCTTGGATGAGTTTATATTCATATCGGTCCCTACAAAAAAGAACAGGCCCTTTTAACTCACACAAAAATGCTGTAGTCATATATAAAATTAAGTTTGAGTAATTAATGACAAAGACAAAATACAAAAGTACACCCAAACTCGAAACAGAAGCTTTGGCAGTGTTAATAGGTTTTGATTGACGGATCCTGGTTTCCTAAGATGGGAGAATTCATGCATTGACTAGTCAATTGAGTCTCAAGTGTTGGGAAAAGATTGAAGAAATTGGTAAATTTGACTTAAAAAAACACATACAAGATATGAGATATCTCCAAGGAACAATCTAGATATATGAATGGCTAAAAAAGAAATGACATAGATACCCATATCGGAAATCCCATCCACGCAAGTTGGCGATTTCAGTCAAAGCTGACCTCCACTCTTTTATCTTCTCCGATTTATCTCCGAAGCGACGTATATGTCGGACCATGGCTTCATCAAACCTACCTGTCTGCTTCCTTACATCGGAGGGATCCACGTCGTAAAAGATTGGCAAAACGACTTGGGCATAGGTCCTTCTACACCGGACGATGTTCACAAGTTCTTCAAGGCACCACGTGGAAAACGCATAGTTTTCGGAGAGAACAACGATTGAAATCCTGGACGCTTCAAGCGCTCTGAGAAGAGAGGCTGAGATTTGGTCACCACCCTTCAAGGCACTGTCATCCATGAAAGTACTGATTCTAGCGCGCCGCAAAGCATCGTAGAGATTACCGGTGAAGTTGTAGCGCGTGTCTTGCCCTCTGAAAGCCAGAAAAACATCGTAGCACCACTTCGCTTTTTCATCCCCCATCTTCATCAATTAGCATCCATGAGACTCTTCCTTTTCTTTGTTGCTTCAATTTCAAATAAAATAAATGAACAAGAAGAATTCATTGGGCGGAGACTTCTTTTTCTTCATTTTTCTAGTCAACAAACCTCACCTCACCTTCCATACCAAAAATATATGTTATCCTATTATTTTACTATACACTATACACTATACACTAATCTTTCTTATTCCAAGTCTTTGCCCAAATACCACGTTCAGTCAATTCACTTAAAGTCAAAATATTATATCTGGTTTCAACTTCATATTCAAGACACAAATTCAGTAGAAAAATATTCAAGATAAAAATTAAATCGGTGTTTAATTAAAAAATATAATTACTAAATTATCTATATCGACAACTTTTAATTTTTTATTTTGTATTAGTGTATTAAGATTTTGTTTTAAGTTAGTTTAACGGTAAAATTTGATTAAAAATTATTTTTATCAATAATCAAACTTGAACACTATTTAAATGTTTTGACTCGAAAACTATTTTCTAAAACAAATTTTCTTTTTTCTAAATGCACCTCACTCTGCCTTTACCAAAAAAAATATTATTAATATCATCCTAACAAACAAATAGAAATGTAACAATTTTAATAAAAAAAAATTGTAAGGAGATAATTACAAGAATAAAATTATATTAGATATTAACTTTACCTTCTTGTTTGTTTAATAGCAGTAACTCTTAGCTTGAACTTAAATTCAGAAACAACAAGGGTTTCTACTTAAGTAGGAGTTGTACAAAGTTTTTTTAAGTGAAAAACCATATATATGTTAACTGTGTTGTCTTCCTCTGCCTACAAATGCTTAGCTTTTTCATGCTTTTTGTTCACATTTTTTATGCTTACAAATGGTTAGCTAACAAAGAATACAGGATATTCATAAATTTGTACCGTTTGTATGGGGACAAAGACAGCATTTTGGTGGATGATTTTTCCCTTATATACCCATTAAAATCGGTCTAATAAATAAATTAGATTATTTACACAAGAATATAAATTGTAAGGAAAAAAATATCCTGTAAATGATTACAATTTTGCTAAGGAGATCAAGTGGCATAATTTTTTATACAACATTAAATTATTCTATTTATAATGATAGAATCGAATCGAATTGAAAATTATGGTAGCATCACCATTATAAATATCACCCCGTAACACTAATAATATCTTGTTTCCGATATCAATACGTGCTTTACTCCAAAACAGATTTTTGCATTTGTAAAAGAAAAAGAAAAAGGAAATTGATGATTCTATATCCGTGTTTCTTGGTAGAGATTTGGCTGATTAAAGGCCGCAAAATTCACTGATCATAATTAAAATGTTCCAGAAACTTCTCTATAAGACTGTTTTTCACCCGCTTTTGCTGTTACAAAAATGTCATTTAATTACGAATATTCTATGAGTGCATGGAATTTAACAATTTCAAAGCCAGGGCCTCTTGATCCTCCAAAGTAACGGCGCTGGTAGTTATACCTGTATTCCCTTTCCTTTCACCCTCCTCACTCTCACTCTCACTGTCACTGTCACTGTCAAAGTATACTTTAGTCTTCTTTTTATGCCGTCTATCAACAGTTTCAGGTTCATCTCCTTCTGACCCAGAAATATCATCTTCGTCGTCCTCTTCTTCCGCCTTCCATTTCATCTTCTGCTTTATTCTTTTTTCTCTAAGCCGCTGACGCTCGACAAGCTTGTCTTCCTTGTCACCCTTCTTCAAATCTTCTCGCATCCTTCTATAGTATTCTGCTTTTTGTTCTGCATCAACACATTACAGTCATGCACCAATATAACCCATGCTTAATAAAAGCATAACATGGATGTTACATGTTACAGTTCCTAATTTTAAAAAACAAAAAATAAAATATACTTAAATTGATAACCTTACACATGTACTAGCAACAATTTCACAATGCAAAATTATCACTACCATTACAGCTTCAGTTTGCAGATGAGAAGTATGAACATACCTGGATCAAGCAGCATCGTTTCTTTCCCACTTTGTGTGTCAGCTATCCTGGCTAGCGGGGGAAGTGTGTTGCCTTCATCGTCAAATACAACCCTAGTCCCAACTGGCCTATGTACATTAATCTTGAGCTTCTTTTTCTTCAATACACGAGTTGCTGGTCTGCATAGCAAAGAACCCAAATTGGTAAGAACAAGAGTGGAGGAATAAATTCAAAGCCCCACATAAATGGCTCCCACCAAGAAATATGATAAATAAATCCAATTTTATAATCACCACTAAGTTTGATTTTTTTTTTTTTCATTAGCCATCATAAGATGTTTCAAAGGTCAATTTGCCTCAAATGAAATTGGAAGACTTGTTGTCTAGCCCCTTTCCATAATCATGTATAAAGAAACTAATGCAGCATTATCAGGATGTAGTCTAAACTTTTTTATCAGTACGACTGAAACAAATATGTAAGAACACATACATCATTTCTCCAATTTCAGATGACTTCATTTCATCCTCATTTGCAGTGTCAGCCAACTGAAGAAGACCATTTTCGGTTTCCTCATCCTTGAAAGTAACCGTGTCTAGCTTCTTTCCTGAAACCTCCACGAAATTTTCTTTGTTTGAATCTCCTAGTTCAACTAAAATTGATTTTGTTGACACAGCTTTAGATTTGATTTTCTGGTTTAGAAAACGGATTTTGGGGGTCATTGGTAACCCTAAAGATGCTGAATACTTGTCAATAGGCAGTTTCGTAACATCAAATATGTCTTTATCCTTTTGGATATGGATGGATCTCAAATATGTAATGAACGCCCTCTGAGCCCGATGCTGCATGTCTGGGTATTTGGCCAGTAAAGATGCCAACAAACTAGAAACTGGTTGCAGTCGTTCTTGCCTTGGCTGGATAATCAGCAATTACCAAAGCATGGAAAACAAATATGTCAGCAAAAAGCATAAGACTAAAGTGAACCAGATTTAAAACTGACACATTGATGTTCAAATGAAAATTGGAATTCCATGCATACTATTAATTTGCAGGGCAAGCGTACCTTACTAAAATGCACTGGAACCTTTGCTGCTTTTAACTTTTCAAGCATTTGAATTTCTGAAGGTAACAGAAATAAAACTGAGTTTCCACAAGATTTATATCGAGCAGTGCGACCAACTCTATGTATGTACGAAGCTACATTTTCAGGACAATCCACCTACATGTGCAACAGAAAAGCAAGACTCAGACCATAAAACAAGCCTTTTGTTTCTAAAACCCCACCTCGAAGCCCTATGACTTGCTCCAAAACAGGAAACAACAAGCAGGAGACTCACCTGAACAACCCAGTCAACTGCCTTATTAAAATCAAGGCCTCTTGCTGCCACATCAGTTGAGAAGAGAACTGAGCGCTTCTCACAAAACTCAGAATATATTGCCATTCTTCTTTCCTGTTTCATCCTCCCATGAAGGCACTTCAATGCAATGCCAGGGCGCAGTTTCTTAAATGCTTCAAAGACAAATTTTACCTATTAAGAAGGGATGTGAATGTTATGGGAGATAGTCAAGCTTGACTCGTAATTTTAACCAAAAACACACACATTGAATCAACTCAGTCAAGTAATCAACAGAAATCCTTTTAAACCAAAATAATTTCCCTATTTACATGTAAGAATTATGAATAGTTCATCCTAAAAATCCCTTAAAAACATTTTCATTACACTAACATGGATCAGCACAACAGAAAACCTAACAGAAGTTCTGTGTGCGTAGACTACATCATGTGCAGTCACATACAACAATGCAATAATTTACTTGGTCATTGAATATGAAACTAATGAACCGACTTTCAAGTTTCAATGATCAAATTAAATTAAAACATCACATTCCCTCAAACTGCACAAAAATTCCTGAAAATTATGACTAGCCAGTAGCCATGCTTTGGCTCATCATTAGGTACAACTTTTCAGTTGGTATGAGCACGACAGTAAAATTGATAGAAGCCTACAACAAATGATTCCCTTAAAGGAAATTCAAACAGGACAGAAAAGTGGAGTTACCTGTTTACAGCTTGAAAGAAACACAAGAGTTTTTGACTGTAGATGTGTCTTTATGAAACTCCACAGCATATCTAGCTTTTGATCCAAATCAACAACCATCACAATCTGCTTCAACATAGTGGGAGTGGCAGTCACGGATTCTTCATGCACACTCAGATACTCTGGATCCTTCAAACTTAGTCTAGCAAGATCTTGAATTGACTTGGTTTGCGTGGCAGAAAAAAGCAAGGTTTGTCTACGCTTTGGTAGTTGAGAAATGATTGCATTTAGTGCCTGTTTGAACCCGCTGTCTAGAATCCGATCAGCCTCATCAAGTACCAAGACCTATATCCAGGAAGTCCACACCAAATCATCAGCCATATTTATTACCAAATATCAAACAATACATATATGAGATCTGGTTTGCTCAAAAAACAAAACATACTTAGGCTGAGAAAATTAATAATTTATGCTTTAGAAGATAATAAACATATAAAAATTTAACAAAACATACTCCACTTCAACCACTGTAACTAAATCACCTAGGTACTGGCATCTAAAACAGAACCAAAATTTTCTGAAGCTTATTAATTAGGAAGGCATCTTGACATACCCAAGTACAGCTAGAAACACCCACAAAGAAGCAGAGCATGATACATAAAAACAAAATGACTTAATCGTAATTCTCATTTCAGAGCCAGATTGAGGTTAATCTATTCCACACAGAAAAAAAAAAAAGAAAAAAAAAAAGGTTATATTGACCGCCTAACCTTCAACTGTGTACAATCAAAATTGGGAGTTTCATCCATGTGTTGTAGCAGTCTTCCGGGCGTGCAGATCAATATGTTGAGCTCATTAACACGTTGTTTCTCCGTGTCAACGTCCTTTCGGCCACCAATGAGAAGGCCAGCACTAAAATTATGGTTTTTGCCAACAATCTTCAACACATCAAATAACTGACCAGCCAACTCTCTTGTAGGCGATATGATGATGCTGCCAACCCCATCCTCAGGTCCCCACCTCTCTCTATACAACTTCTCCAAAACCTATCATTCAGAAACCACCATACACAAATATTAATATGCACAAATATCAAATTAGCTATGTCTTTGTTCAGATAAATTTCTTCATAAGCACCTACAGAAGAAAAAAATAAGAATAACTTCTCCAATAAGCTCAAATTAGCTTATAGCTTATTTGTAGAAGCGCTTTTATTTTAGCTTCTCCATAAGCTCAGTTTAACTTACGTTCTTAATTTCTTCTCGTGTAACGGCTTTAAGAAGATTTCTCATGGTTTCTGATTTGATTTTCCTCACTTACTAGCAACATTATGATCGTATTATTAACATTATTATATTATTATCATCATAATATATTTGCATGTTAAAAAGAAAATAAAAAGGAAACCTAATTCGAAGTGAAGCACTTACAGGGATAATGAAGGCGAGGGTTTTACCGGAGCCAGTTTTGGCGGCGCCGAGAATGTCACGGCCACAGAGCGCGTGGGGGAGAGACGCTCTCTGAATGTCGGTCATGGCGACGAACTTGGCTTCTCGCAGGGCATCCTTGGTCTTCTTAGAGAGCGGGAATTGGTGGAAGCGCGACGCGCCGGCGTAGCGCGAGTAGGTGTCGTCGTGGAGGCGACCAACGGGAGCGTCTTTGGGGAGAGGAGGCAGCGACATAGGGTTGGAACCGGAGTCCGGTGGCTGAAATTGGATCCATGAATTCAAGAGGTTTATCTCTTCCTCCTCGGAGACTCGCTCTTGCTTCCGAAACTTCTTCGATTTCGGTCTTCTCATTGCTCGAGCTTCAAGATGAAGATGGGGAGGTTTAGGTTTCGTTGTGTGTTGCGGCGACGTTGCAGTGCAGTGCGAGAGTTGGCGGTTAAAGCTTCATTCGCCAACGACGACGACCTCGTAATGGGCCTACTGATCACTGGGCTGGCCCCATTATTCAATGACGCGGGGAGACAACCCAAATGGATCCGCTGAAATTGCAAAATAACCAATAGGTTAAAAATATTTTTTTTACTCTAAATATTTCATAATGTTAATTTTAATTTTAATCCTATAAAATATTAAGTTTTTAGTTTTTTGATATTTGTCTAAAGAGATAAGGTGAAAAAGTGGATTACTTCACCTAAAGTTAACCCATAAAAAGAAATGAGTTAAAAAATATAACATATTCTATCTAATATTTAAAAAAAATCAATTAAAATATTTTAATATATATTATCATTTTAACTTATATTTTATTATCATTTGTAAAATTGATTAGAAGTGTTGTATTTTTTCATGAAAAGGACAAAATAATATATATTTCTATTAAAAAAAACATTACACGTGAAAATCTACTAGTAAAAATGTGATTGAAATAATATACTTTCATTTAGGCGTGAGCAGAAAATTTTGCCCTGACCGAAACTGAAAGTTTATGCAGTGAGTTTCTTAGTTCGGTCAGTTATTTTCAATTTTTCCGATTTTGCAGGTTGTTAGACTCGGTTTGTAATGAGTTATGTTGGTTGGATTCGAGTTAAAATATTTGAACCCGTCGGTATCCATACCCGACCGACCCAAAACAATTAAAAGATATGTTATTTATTCTTGTAAAGCTGGCACCGCGAGAGTAAAACTAAAAACCCTAAGCGCCTGCTCTGCGAAACCTTCTCTTATACTCACAAACTAGAAACCCTAATCGCTACTCACGCTAGTAGAAACTACAAACCCTAAGCTCGCATGGACGACGAGGTTCATCGCTGTAGCCAAAACGAACACACTTACACTTGCTGCTGCGAGCTTTGTACTCCTCACTGCGACGCTGTCGAATCCACCGCGATCATCACTATCATCACGCGGGACAAAATCACCGTCTCCAACTGCGGCAACTCCCGCGTTGTCCCCTACCGCAATGGCTTCGCCATCCCTCTCTCCTCCATTGTTGTTATCTTTTTTTTATTGTTTAGATTTTAAAAAAAATAACAAATAAATATAGGGCCCAATATGACCCAATCCGACTAAACCGACCTGGTTAATTCGAGACCTGACAAACTCGAATCCGATAAATTCGAAACACTGTTACGGTCGAAAATGAGTTATTTTTTTTTTGTCGATTTGGATTGAGCTAAATATTTTTGACCCGAACCCGTCCGAACCCGACCCGTGCTCAGGCCTACTTTCATTTATATAAAAGGATAATAATTACCTAAAATAAGAAATTAAACTATAAAATATAAATATTGATGTAACATAATTCACTACAAATTTATCTTTTAAAAATATATTAAAAAAATTAGATTGACAAATTGGCTTACTAAATTAACGAATTCGACTAAATGAATTAGTGAATTTATTTGTTCAATCCATTCCACCAAAATTAGACAAGTTAATAAATTATTCCACCAAATTTAACTCAAAATATGTGTATATAATAAAGAAACTAAAAATATTAAATTGTTAATAAAGATTCAAAATTAACATTCCAAAAATAATTTGAGCATAAAAATATATTTTACTTCAAGGAATAAGATAACTTAAATATAATGAATATGTTATATATATCTTCCTTTTTAATAGACCTGTCTTATTATTTTTAAAAGTTCTTAAATATTTTTATAATTTATACTTTTTGAAATATAATTTATCTTTAAAAATTATTTTTTATTATCACTTTTCTTTCTTCCGCTATTTTATCCATCTCTGCATACTTTTTTTTTTCTTCTGTTTTACTTGTTTTCTCTCCAACATACTCACATCCCTCATTCTTATTATTATTTAAATTTTTTATTTTAAACTTCAATATTTTTTAAATCTTAATTTTTTTACTTCATTTTCAATATTTTACACATTAGATTCAAAGTCATAATTTTTTAAAAAATATCGTTTCCAAACTATGATGGATTAATTTTACGATTATTGGTTAGAATTAATATATTTATTATTATTATTATTATTATTATTATTGTTATATATATATAAATTTTTTTTTCTTTTTCAGAAAGTATTTTTTTATCAGAATAAATATATTTATGTTTTAGGAAGTACTTCTCAAAAATATATTTTAAAAGTTGTAAATCATAGTTTCAGAATAATAATAATATTATTATTATTATTGTTATATATATATAAATTTTTTTTTCTTTTTCAGAAAGTATTTTTTTATCAGAATAAATATATTTATGTTTTAGGAAGTACTTCTCAAAAATATATTTTAAAAGTTGTAAATCATAGTTTCAGAATAATAATAATATTATTATTATTATTGTTATATATATATAAATTTTTTTTTCTTTTTCAGAAAGTATTTTTTTATCAGAATAAATATATTTATGTTTTAGGAAGTACTTCTCAAAAATATATTTTAAAAGTTGTAAATCATAGTTTCAGAATAATAATAATATTATTATTATTATTGTTATATATATATAAATTTTTTTTTCTTTTTCAGAAAGTATTTTTTTATCAGAATAAATATATTTATGTTTTAGGAAGTACTTCTCAAAAATATATTTTAAAAGTTGTAAATCATAGTTTCAGAATAATAATAATATTATTATTATTATTGTTATATATATATAAATTTTTTTTTCTTTTTCAGAAAGTATTTTTTTATCAGAATAAATATATTTATGTTTTAGGAAGTACTTCTCAAAAATATATTTTAAAAGTTGTAAATCATAGTTTCAGAATAATAATAATATTATTATTATTATTGTTATATATATATAAATTTTTTTTTCTTTTTCAGAAAGTATTTTTTTATCAGAATAAATATATTTATGTTTTAGGAAGTACTTCTCAAAAATATATTTTAAAAGTTGTAAATCATAGTTTCAGAATAATAATAATATTATTATTATTATTGTTATATATATATAAATTTTTTTTTCTTTTTCAGAAAGTATTTTTTTATCAGAATAAATATATTTATGTTTTAGGAAGTACTTCTCAAAAATATATTTTAAAAGTTGTAAATCATAGTTTCAGAATAATAATAATATTATTATTATTATTGTTATATATATATAAATTTTTTTTTCTTTTTCAGAAAGTATTTTTTTATCAGAATAAATATATTTATGTTTTAGGAAGTACTTCTCAAAAATATATTTTAAAAGTTGTAAATCATAGTTTCAGAATAATAATAATAATATTATTATTATTATTATTATTATATTATACATTTAGTGTAAACATATTCATTAAATTTTAACCTTTTTTTACTTATGTCATAAATATAACTTTTTTCTTTTGAACTAACATGTTTTCCAAATTTGATGTCAAAACATAGACATTAGACATAAAATTTTTATTTATTTATTTACTCAGAATCACTCGATTGTTGTTAACTAAAATAAAATAAGATCGACAATTATTCTATTATATTATATAAACTCGAATATCCACAGGTATATTTTTCTTCTTTTTGTTTTGTCAATGTTGATAACTTGTTTACTCCATTATGAAAACATATTTTTGTTAAATAATACAATAACGTCAAAACGATAAGAAATTAAAATAATTTAGATATGGGTTCGTGGTATTTTTAGTTATGCATGCATAAAATAATTTTTTGATTTTTCAAAATTTTATTTTATGTTTGTTATCATAGTAATTTTATTTTATTTTATTTATTTAAAAAAATTATTCGTTCACTTTCTTTTACTCTACTTATTTTCTTTCAATATTCAATTTTTCTTTAATCATTCTTTATGTAATTTTTTTTACTTTTTTCTCTTCAACAATCAAAAGACATTGTTATTCGTGCTTTATTCATTGAAAAATAGATGATGACATAAAGAACATAGTGAATGAAGTAGAAAGTGATATATAAGGCGAAGACAAATGAGAGAGGTGATTCTGGGTGACATGTGGCTTTAAAGCACCTAACCATAATGATGTGGCTCATTCCTAAATCTTCAAAAGTCAAAATAGCATATGCAACAAAATACATGGAAATTCCAATTAACCTAACCTATTGTATCCTTGTCCAATCCGATATAAATAAAAAATAAATCATCTAATTTTTAAGAGTTAATTCATAGTATAAAGTATTTTTATGTAAGCATCCATTAACAAAATATATTGAAATATAGTTGTCCATCTCAATTGATTTATTTTAATAACTTTCACCTCGATCGTTTATTTATTTTACTAATATATTTAATGCTTATCTTTAACTTTATATGGGTGAGAAACTTTTTTTACCTTCACCTTAAAAGCCATCTTTAAGTTAAAATAATTTTTGAAAAAATTGTGTAGCTCATAATTTTAACTCGTTAATTATGTTTGTGTACGAGTCCAAAATTTTTAAATAGTAGGGATAATATTTATTTATATATTTATAGTATTAAAAATTTTATATATCTTTTAAAAAATATATATATATATATA